GAGGGCAGTTGGGGGCGATCAGACGGGCAGGGGAGGGCAAATTAGGGGTGACCAGGCCATCAGGGGAGGGCAGTTGGGGGCGATCGGGCGGGCAGGGGAGGGCAACTAGGGGTGACCAGGCCATCAGGGGAGGGCAGTTGGGGGCAATCAGGCCACAGGGGAGTGGTTAGGGGGTGATCAGGCTGGCAGGGGAGTGGTTAGGGGGTGATCAGGCTGGCAGGGGAGTGGTTAGGGGGTGATCAGGCTGGCAGGCAAGCAGTTAGGAGCCAGCAGTCCAGATTGTGAGAGGGATGTCCAACTGCCAGACATTCCCCGAGGTGTCCCAGATTGGAGAGGGTACAGGCTGGGCTGAGGGACACACACACACCCCAGTGCATGAGTTTCATGCACTGGGGCCTCTAGTTTTAAAATAAAATCAAGGGGGAAAACCAAGATGGCGGCATAGGTAAACACCGGAGATTGCTGCTTAGCACAACCACTTCAAGAATACAACTAAAAGACGGAATGGACATCATCCAGAACCACAGGAAGACTGGCTGAGTGGAAATTCTACAACTAGAAGGAAAGAGAAAAGCATACCGAGACTCAGAGGAGGTGCGGTACGGAAGTAAAGTACAGAGGTATGGAGGCACACGTGGAGAGGGCTGGCGGCTGAGGACACGGTTGTCTTTTTCAATCGGTAGGGAGTCTCAAGCTCTTAGCTCCAGTTCCGGGCGAGTCTCTGGGGACCTAGACTCATACGGGAGAAACTGGACTGTCTAGCATCGGTCGGGACTCGAGGGCAGCTTTCTCTCAGAGGTGCTTGCAGCATTTGCCGGGACACTGAGAAGTGGGGCCTCTGAGGGCAGCCATAGCTGCTTGCTCCACCCTGTTGATCCCCTGGGACCCCCACCCCGCCCAAGCTGTGTGCCGGCTTTTGCATATGAAAGGCCTGGCCCTTTGCAATCTGAAAATTACCTAACAAACTTGCAGCTGGCCCAAGGACCCACGGCAACTCCCATTGCTTCACAGCTGAGCTCCTGCTGGGTAGCCTCAGAAAGATGCTAGATTAGCACTTCCTTAGAGATCCAGGAGCCAGTGTGCCCAGTGGTCAGAGTGGGACCATCCAGATTGTAGCTCTTCGGATCCATAACGGACACACTCAGGGGGCAGACTCAGTGAGCACCAAAGCCCCACTGAAGCAAGTCTTGTCCCGGAGGGGTGTTTCCAGCACAGAAGTTCTCCCACTGTAGACACAGCTGATTCTCATAGCCAATTGCCCTGGAGGTCAATTCCTCCCAGTGATACCTACAACAATCAAGGCTAAACTACAACAAGACTGTGCACAAAGCCCACAAGAGGGTGCACCAAGAGTGTCCACCTCAGGTAATTGGGGAGGCTGAGCCACTGGGCCCTATAGGACATCTAGCACAGAAAGCCATTCTATCAAAACAGGGAAGCATAAAAAATGCGGAGACAAAGAAACAGGTCACAAATAACAGAAATGGAGGAAAGCAAACGACTGGATATAGAGTTCAAAACCACACTTTTAAGGTTTTTCAAGAACTTTCAAGAAACCGCCGACAAATTTAGTAAGACCCTCAAAAAGTCGGGTGAGACCGCAGATAAATGTAGTGAGCCCTCAAGAAATCTAGTGAGACCCTCGAGGT